TGGGCTCGCGATGGGGTGGATTGCCTCAACAAGTTTTTCGGTTTCAGCACTCCGCCTGCAGCAGTGCGGAATGCAAGTCAGGACTGTGCCCTTCGGAACATCGTGTCGGCTTACCTTGGTGCCCCCTCACCTCCTGGCGACCCCTCGTTTCGCAAGGGAGCCCTCAGTGCGCTCTTTGCAGGGTCAGGTCTCTATTCTGACGAGTCCTCCACCCAACGGCCGTGTGTCAAGAGCAGCGTCTCTTGGCCCGCTAGGGGCAATGCGCCGTCGGCGCTCGCTGACCGCCTTTCGCTGGCCGGCTCGGATTGGCTCGGCTGCTGGCGCGATCATATGCTAAGATCGCCCGCTGCTGCGGAATCTCTGCGCGCGGAGCTATGTCCGAATGGGCCGTGCACTGATCCAGTTCTGAAGCATCACCCGCTTGACTATGCCGATTTTGTAGCAGAACTGAGGCAGCGCGGGATGGTGAAGCATCGCAGGGCAGCCGGACGAGCTGCCACCGTGGGCGTGTTCTTTGTTGCCAAAAATCGGGCGACCTCAGTTTCATTTTTGACACCAGAGCTGCTAATACCAGTTTTGTTGACCCTCCGCGGACACGTCTACCTACGCCGGGAGCTTTCTCGGGGTTTGAAAACGTGGGGAGGGGCACGTTCTTCGCAGCAGGCGACATCGAGCGTGCTTTTTATAGGCTTGCGATCCCCGACGGGCTTGACGAGATGTTTAGAGTGCCCGCGATCGCTGCTAGGCATCTGGGTATCGTGGAGCTCGACGAGCTCCCTGTGGCCCCTGATGAGATGATTTCTCCGTGTGTTTGCGTTCTTCCGATGGGATGGCCCTGGGCCCTGCATATCTGTCAGGGCGTTCTTCGACACGCACTGGTGAGCGAGGGTTTCGATGCCACGAACACGATCGAGGACAGACTGCCGGCAGTGTCTCTCCAGCGTGCGTCGGATACGGCTGGCGCAGGGGAAGTCGATCACTTCATGATTCTTGGCTCGGATCGGGCCGCTGTCCAGGATGGCCTGGACAGAGTATGCCGCAGATTGGAATCCTTGGGTCTTTCTGTACATGAGTTGGGCCCTGCTAGCCGTGAGGTGTCGTTCGTCGGACTCGAGTTCACCGACGGATCAACGGTCTCAGTGAAGGCCAAAAATCTGTGGCGTCTTCGGTGCGGTATCGAGGCTCTGCTCAGGCGTGGCGTTTGCAGCGGCGCAGCTCTTCAGGTTATCATGGGGCACATAACTTGGATATCGCTTCTTCGGAGAGAGGTGCGAGTTTTTTTTTCAGCGCTACCTATAAGCATATGCAGTCTGTGGGTGAGATCCCGCAGAAGTTGTGGCCGAGTGTTCGGCAGGAGATGTGGACGTTTCGGTCGATCCTCCCCCTCCTGTACACGAAGATCGATATTCCCTGGCACAATGTCATCGCCTCCTCCGACGCCCCCCTCTTCGGCATCGGTGTGTGCACTCGCGTCGTGGCGCCAGAGCGTGCCGGCATCTTTGGTCGGTATGCAGAGCGCTGGAGGTATCATGTGGCGGGCGCTGAAGGTGCTCGCAAAAACGCCCTCAATCTCCCCTCCGACATCGGCGAGCGGCCTGCTGGCAGTCCGCCTCCTGCATGTCGTGATCGGGTGCCTCGAGCCTCTGGAGACCCCGTGGGCAGCACCGATGGCAACGACGAGTTCACAGATGCTCAGAAGTTTTTAGAGGTTTCGGAGGCCGGGTTCGAGGAGGTGCCGAGGGGCATCTTGGAGGGCCCGTGGGTCACCGTGCTCGCCTCGAAGGTCTTCGGGTCCGCCAACATCCTGGAGCTAGAAGGAGAGGCCCTCATGGTGGCCGCCAATCACATCCTGAGGTCTTCGGAGGCGTTCAATCGGAGGGTAGTCTTGCTGGTGGACAACTTGCCGTTGGCGCTCGCGGCCTGCAAGGGCCGAGGCGCCTCTCATCACCTTCTTCGGCCTCTTCGCAAGCTGGCCTGCATATCGCTGGCGTCTGGGACCAGGTTTCACATCGGATGGATCCCCTCGGAGCTCAACCCTTCAGATGCGCCGTCTCGGGGCAAGCTGGGCTGGTTCGCGGGGCCGCATCGCCGAGAGCGTCTTCCGCGTAGCCCTCCTGGCTCTAGCACTCCAGCGGCGGTCGCCCTTCCATCGCTCCCACTCTTCCCTGTGCTCTCGGAGGTTGACATCTCCGGTGGCGTCCACGATACTCGGCATGGCGCCGAGGTCCGCTCGCTGGCGGCGGGCGGGGATGAGGACTCGGCCAGCGTCGCGGGACGGCCTGCTCGTGGGACGGCAGGCGTCGTCAGCTTCCCGCCTGGCACAGCAACGGCAGGCGGGCGGCAACCTCTGCCTGCAGGAGCGCCTGGCCGCCGAGCCGGGCATCGAGAGCCTGTACATGGGCGCGGCAGCCACCCTCGCCAGCTTCTGCCAGAGCACCGAGATGGACTGGAGCTCGCCGCGGGAGTTGGACTTCCTCCTGGCCTCGTACTTCAACGCGGAGTTCGTGGAGGAGTCGGGCGTCGAGGTGGCCTCCGTGCTGCCGGCCTTTGCCGGCCTTCCTGTCGCACCTCCCCCCGGAGCTCTACCATGCGACGGTCGAGAAGTTCCCCAGAGTGGCCTCGGCCCTAGCCCGGGCGGGCTGCCGTCGCCACTTGGGACGCCCGCGCATGTGTTTCTGGGTGGCGCTGACGTGCATCGCCCACCCACAGCCGCTCGAGATGCTCCAGCTGCGCGGCTCGCACTCGGTGGCGCCGAGGACTGCTGCCAGCCGCCAGTGCAGCTCGTGGGGGCTCCTCGTCCACGTCGCGTCGTTAGGAGACCTGGGCATGACGAGGACGCTCGACGCAGCAAACCTGCCCGACCGCGGCGACTGGATGCCGCCCTCGCTGGTGGCCTTCAAGAGTCAGTCGCACCCCAACGGCGGCCTCTGGGACTTCTCGCCCGCAGCGCTGCAGCGCCGCCTCGCGTCGCTGGTGGGGCGCCGCGGCCTCGACCCGCTGTCGCCTCACCTCCACCCGCTGGCGAGCTTCAGCAACGTGATGTCCGAGGATTTCATGGGGCCGCTGTTAGCGGTGCGGCCGCCTCCGCGCCTCGCTGTGGCTCTGGGCCCAGCCAGCGCCCTCGCCCGCGGCCTGCCGGCGACTTCTCTGAGGACGAAGTCCGCAGGTACCTGCAGCGCCGCTTCAAGGCCAGCGCCGCTCCTCAAGTCCGCTCCCTGAGAAGGCTGGTTTTCTTAGAGTTGTTCTCAGGTGCTGGAAGGATAGGGGGCGCCTTGCGCGCTCGGGGATACCGCTCTCTGTCATTCGATATCATTCACAATGCGAGAGAAGACCACCTAGATCCTTCCTTCCAGAAGGTTACCAACGGCTGGCTCTCCTCAGGCTGTGTTGCAGCGCTTTGGCTTGGCACGCCCTGCACGTCGTGGGCGCGTGCCTTGAGGGGGCCCATTCGTAGCAGCGACCTGCCCTTCGGAGTGCCAGACCTTTCAGATGCTGAGAAGGAGCACATCAGGATTGGTAATGCCTCGTTTTTGTTTACTGTCGTGTTGATCAAGATGTGTATCTCCCTCAATGTGCCCGTCTATCTCGAGAATCCTCGGACTTCTATCATGTGGTGGCCGCCGCAGATGAAGACTCTCATGCGCAGCTCTGTTTTCTTTGACGCCTGTTCGGATTTCTGTCAATATGGTGCGCCTTGGAAAAAGGCAACAAGTGTCGGCGTTTGGCATGGAGGCAGCCCGTCCGACCTTTGTCTCACGTGCCGAGGGAAGCAGGGAGTCTGCAGCCGCATTAAAAAGCGACACATCGAGCTCTCTGGGAATGCGCCGGGAGGGCGCACATGGACAAGCATCGCGACTCCGTCCCCCCCGCCTTCGCCGCCACCGCCGCTGCCTGTATGATCAGTGCTGTTGAAAATTTGAAGAGTCACCGGTTGCATAGTCTTTATAATGGCCTGTGATGCGGCCCTGGCGGGCCAGAATACCAAGGTGGGATCGGGTGCGGCCTCGAGCTCGAGGCTCGATCTTATCTATTTCTCGTGTCTTCTTTGCAGTCTGTGTTTCGCTCAGCGGCGGCACACGTCGCGTTGCCTTCGCGCCCGGGTGCCCGGGTTCGCCGCCGATTGGGCCCGAGTGCCCGGATGCCTGGGTGCCCGGGTGCCCGGGTGACGGGTGCCGGTGCCCGTGTGGGTGCCCGGGTGCTGGGTGCCCGGGTGCCCGGTGCCCTGGAGCCCCACAGCCCTATAGCCCTATATCCCTATCGCCCTATAGCCCTATAGCCCTATAACCCATATAGCCATATAGCCCATGTAGCGCCCAAGAGCCCATATAGCCCTGTAGCCCTATAGCCCTACAGCCCTAAAAAGATTATGATTGGGGCTTTTCTCTGGTATCATTTATATTTGTTCCCCAATCAGAACTTGCCTCTGTAAGGATCGTAGCGCCTAGCGGACTCGTATATATGGTTAGGTGAGGTTCGTCGCCGATTTCGGTGGCCGGCCCGGGTGCCCGGGTGCACGGGGATGCCCAGGTGCCCATGCAGGTGCCCAGGGGGTGCCCAGAGGTGCCTGGGGTTGCCCGGAGGTGCCCAGGGGTGCCCGGGTGCCTGGGCGTTCGACGATCGCGGGCACCCGGGTGCCCGGGTGTTCCATCGCCCCATCGATTTATAGCCCTATAGGCCTATAGCCCTATAGCCTTATAGCCTCATAGCCCTATAGCCCATATAGCCCTATAGCCCTATTGCCCTATAGCTCTATAGCCCTATAGACTTATAGCCCTATAGCCCTATAGCCCTATAGCCCTATAGCTCTATAGTCCTATAACCGAATAGCCCAATAGCCCATATAGCCCCTATGACCCTATAACCCTATTGCCCTATAGCCGACCGCTCACTGCAAACAGACCAGTTTAAGGACCCGCTGTGCGCATGAGCTTCCCGAAGGAATTACGCAAGAAAGCATGCAGGAATAAGCAAGATAGAGACGGAGGCATAAGCATACAAAGTGCTATGAAGGAGGGACATACGTGTTCAGTAGCACAGCAGCGCCGAGCGCTACGTACGCGGGAAAGAACAGCGCGATATGCGTTCGCTCTATAGCAGAGCAGCGCGTCGCGCTGAGCGAGGGAAGGCCGCGGGGTGGCATGGCGGGCCATAGGTAGCTGAGGATTGGAGGCTACGCGGACAAAACAATCAGCGCCATCTGTTGCGTGGCGCAGCGGCTCCCTTCGAGCTGCGATGAGACAGCGCCGAGCGCTGCGTGACGGGACAGCGCCGTCCGCTATGGGAACCCTTGCCCTTTGGGATGTGAGTACTTGTCGTCGGTTGCATTTCTCGTCGCGACGCCCCAGGACCCACGAAAGTGGCGACAGTTGCGCACCTCGCAGCCCCCCACAGGAAGCCGCGAAATCCCAACTGGATCCCTGCACAACTCCATCCCGCGCGACCTCCCAGGAGCCCGTGGAAGCGGCGACCGTCGCGCACTTTGCAGCCCCCCAGGGAGCCGCGAGGTCCCAACTGGGTCTGCGTACCACTCCACTCCGCTGGACCTCCCAAGAGCCCACGGACGTGGCGACCGTTGCGCACTTCGCAGCCCCCCCAGGGAGCCGCGAGGTCCCAACTGGGTCTGCGTACCACGCCGCTCCGCTGGAATTTCCAGGAGCCCACGAAAGGGGCAGCAGTTGCGCACTTCGCAACCACGCAGCAAGTCGTGAGGTCCCAACTGGGTCTGCGTACCCCCCCACTCCGCTGGACCTCCCAGGAGCCTACGAAAGCGGCGACAGGAATATGTAGCCCCGCGCGAAAGCGGCCAGGGGCGACGGAGGGGATGATGTAGAGAAGGACAAGGAGGCAGGAGGATGGAAGTAGGAGGCAGGAGGCAGCGGGGAAGGGAGGAGGGAGGTTGGAGAGCACAGTGCTCTATTCAAAACGAGAACCCAACACGAGAGGGTCGGGACAAACTTGCAAGAGTTTCACGGGTTGAAGGCGGGTCGTTTTCAACATGCGGCCTCACTTTAGCGCCGCGCACATTCGCTTTTATTTGCGCAAGAGCTTCACGGATTGAGGCCGGTTCCTTTTCGACATGTGGCATCGTTGTCGCGCCGCGCGCACTCGTTTCAAACAGTGCCACGAGTTCACGGATTCGCAGGGCTAACGTACCAGAAACTATGTTTTTGGAACGATTCGGGGTTGTCAGGGCGCAACAGTTACATTGACTCGCGGTTTTCTGACCCGGACTCCGGATTGTTAAAACGCAACAGTCAGGTTCATTCGTGGCGTTGAAGTTCTGGAAATCGTGTTTGGGCATGCTTCTGGATCTTCCAACGGTTGTCTCCCAACGGGGCATTTCTTCCAGCGGACATGAATCCTTGCAGGGGCCAATGATGGGGGAACTTGGAGGGAGGGTTGATTCTTAAATCGTTGATGGGTCTTGGGTTTGCACTGGTCCTCCTCCTCCTCCTCCTCCTGCTCTCTGCTCTCTCCTTTCTGCTCTCTCCCGTCTCTCTCTCTCTCTCTCTCTCTCGCTCACTTTTCTTTTTTTAAGTTTTTTTTTTTTTTTTTTCTCTCTCTCTCTCTCTCTCTCTCCTTTTCCTCCTCTCCCTGCCTCTCCTCTCCTTCTCCTCGGCCTCCTGCCCGCGCGTGCTGCACGCACCCGGGCAGAGGTTCCCTGGTGGAGCCTTTTCGCGGACATCGGAGTCTTGAATCTTCTTCCTGCTGGCTTCCCACTCCCACCTCCACCCCCTCCTCCTCCTCAGCCTCCTCCTCTTCCTTCCTGCCTCCTCCTCCTCCTCCTCGTCCTCCTCCTCTTCCTTCCTCCTCTCTCCGTCGCCTTTCTCCCGCGGTCCTTTGCACTGCCCCGGGTGAACCTCGATGCTGTCCGCGCCGCGTTGCGGGACCTCAGGCTGACTCGCCCAGAGGATCCCCGACGAGCAGGCGCCACCCCGCAGAGGGCAGGACGTGAACCCTCTGATTCTACGCCTGCGTCCTTCCCCCTCCCTGCAGCCCTCCTCCTCCTGAGCAGTTCCTCTTCGCCGCGCAACCAAGCGCGTCGGTAGGGCGGCCCGGGCTTCTCGCCTGAGGCGTCCTCACCGCTTGCGGTCCAGCCCAGGGGCGGGCATTGCGCGCCTTCGCCCCGGGGCCTTGCCGAGGGTATGGACTATCGGCACCCGTGGACACACGCATTGCTCTCCCCCTGGCTGTTCGCCCCCGTCGTCGCCCCCGATTCTTGCCTCGGCGCCACACCCGTTGAGCAAAGTCCCAGCAGCTCAAGAATGGAAGGCGGCGGTGTACGACGTGTTGCTCTGGCTTTCGCGCCGCGCACATTCTTCTTACTTCCAGCTGCTGCCAGGATGGAGGGCGACTTGTTTTCAAAGTGTGGTCGGCGCCGCAGCGCCGCGCGCGCTCGTTTCGACAGCTGCGGGGTCTCGCCTCAACGCCGCGCACATTCGTTCACAAAAAGCTCCAATCGATGGAATACGTGAGGGCGAATTGTTTCGGTTCTCGCCTCAGCGCCACGCGCGCTCTTTTTCAAAGTCTTCGTCACCTTCGAATGTGGAGGGCGGCTGGCTTTCAAAATGTGCTTCGCGCCGCAGCGCAGCGCACCTTTCCAAACAGTTCCATGGATGGAGGGCGATTTGTTTTCAAAGCGCGTGTTCTCGCCTCAGCGCCGCGTGCGCTCGTCGTGAGTGTCCCCATGCAGCTGAAAGGGCGGAGGGCGGTTCCGTTTCACAGTGAGGCTTCCGCTTGATATTCCCGTGAACATATCGCTTGAAATGCCAGTCGCGCAACGGATGCATGGATGGAGGTCGTTCGCGTGAGACTCTTCAGACCTACAACCCGACAATCAAGACCATGTCACGGTTACAGTGGTGAGGGGGGATCCTTTTCCAAGCGGGGCTCGCATGGGACATTTCCTTGGTACTTCCAGTCCGACCCTCAGCCAGTAGTGCGTCGAACACGGAGCTCTCGCCTGAAAGGCAGTCGCTCGTTTATCTGTGAGCGATTTCCGCAGTGAAGAGGACTTCTAACGGGGACGTATGAGGAGGGGACGTGGACCGCGAGGTTATATTGCAGCATCGTTAGCGCATCATTCCACCTCTCTCCCAATCGCTTCTCTTCCTCCGACGCCGCTTTATTGTTCGATCCAGGAGTTTCCACCCAATCGCGGCCTCCAGTTGCCACCTTCGCTCGGCCACGCTCTGGAGTGACCCTGCACCAAAGTGACCTTCGGTGCGGGCCCACATGAGTCTCCCCAGCACTGGCCCGCACGCCTGGGTTTGCCCCCTTCTCCCCCTCCTCCTGCCGCGGCCCCGTAAAGCCGCGCATCAAAGGCTAAGTAAGTTTGCCTCGAGTCGCTGGCGCGCGTCGCCGACGCGTGCACCGAGAACGCATGTGGGAGGCAGGGCCGGCCGCCTGGACCGGAGGGGCCAAGGGAACTGGGGTCCGCCCCGCGCGTTGCCCGAATCGAGACGTCGGATGTCTTGATTGCCGTCTGAGAACCCTCCTTCTCCACCTCCTCCCATACCTCTTTCCCCTCCTTTCCCTCCTACCCCCCCTCCCTCCCTCCTCCGCCTCCTCCTCCTCCTCCTCCTCCTCCTCCTCCTCCTCCTCCCTCCTCCTCCTCCTCCTGCGCCTCCTCCTCCTCCTCCTCCTCCTCCTCCTCTTCCTCCTCCTCCTCCTCCTCCTCCTCCTCTCGTTCAGTCCCCCCTTCCCTCCCTCCACCTTGCATCCTCCTCCGTTCCTCCGTCCCTTCCTCCCTCCCTCCCTCACACTCTCTTTCCCTCTATCCCTCCCTCCTTCCTCTTCTCCCTCCAGCCCTCCCTTCCCCTTTTCTCTTTACTGTTTTGTTTCCCTCCTTCCCTCGCTCCCGCCACCACCAGCGAGGGGAAGCCGGTGCGGACTCCCGCGAAAAAATTGACCAGGCGAAGGACCCAACCATATGCAGTTATGAATACCGCAATTGTGAATGCCATCTTCGCCCGCGCTCCCCATGTGGCCACGGCTTCCCGCCGGAGCCCGACATGCTCAGGGACACGTTCGTGGCCGTCTTCGCGGGCGCCGACGACGACAAGGACGGCGTCCTTCTGACCGAGGAGCAGAAGCAGGAGAGGGCTCTGAGAGCCATGAGGGAGGCTGCCGCCTTCGGTGGAGCTCCTATGGGGCCACGATCATCTTAAGGAGTGTGCCGCAATGGCCCGAGGCAGCCATGCGAACCTCGCTACTGGCGCCTTCGGTGGAGCTGCCTATGGGGCCACGATCCTCGTGAGGGGTGCGCCGAAATGGCCCGACGCCGCCGTGCGAACCCTGCCGCTGGGGCATCCGGTAGAGTCCCCTGCGGGACGTGCGCCGAAATAGCCCGAGGCCGCCATGCGAACCTTGCCGCTGGCGCCTTCGGTGGAACTCCCTGCGGGGCCACAATCCTTGTAAGGAGTGTGCCGCACTTGCCCGAGGCCGCCATGCGAACCTCGCTACTGGCGCCTTCGGTGGAGCTGCCTATGGGGCCACGATCCTCGTGAGGGGTGTGCCGAAATGGCCCGAGGCCGCCACGCGAACCCTGCCACTGGGGCATCCGGTAGAGTCTTTTATGGGGCCACGATCCTTGTGAAAGGGGTGTGCCGAAATGGCCCGAGGCCGCCGTGCGAACCCAGCCACTGGCGCCTTCGGCGGAGCTCCCTGCGGGGCCACGATCCTCGTGAGGGGTGTGCAGAAATGGCCCGAGGCCGCCATGCGAACCTCGCTACTGGCGCCTTCGGTGGAGATCCTACGGGGCCACGATCCTCGTGAGGGGTGCGCCGAAATGGCCCGAGGCCGCCACGCGAACCCTGCCACTGGCGCCTTCGGTGGGCCTGCCTATGGGGCCACGAAACGTTGCGCTGGGTGGGTGAAACGCTGGGAGGAAGGACAAGGGGGAGGAGGGAGGAGGAGGGAGAAAGGAGGAGGAAAACGCGAGAACCGTGTTTTCAAAACGAGGACCCAACACCACAGGATGATTGGGAAAAAAGGTAGCGCGTCCAAGCTTTGGAGACAAGATGTGCGTTCCTCGACGGTGCAACATCTTATTGTCACCAAAGCTTTCTAAGGCAACGGGGGAGAATTGGAGCGACATGCCGACAAGGAGCAGGTAGAGGAGAAGGAGGAGGAGGAGGAGGAAGTTTCATTATGGATTTCGCATTCAGACGGGTCAGGA